CCAATTTATGTGCTGAATGTAACTAGATGCATAGGCAAAACAAATTCTCAAATCAAAACAAAGCAAAGAAATTATTATTRTTTATTAACTTTTTTCTTCAAAAACCAAGGGAGATAGAAAATTAGGTACTGAACTATAGAGTTTTATATCTAACTTTATTGTATACTCTGTTACATTCAATGGCCAATTAGTTATGGAAAGAGGAAAAATAAATATCTGTTCCGTTTATCCTTTTACCTAATAAAGGTTAAAATATATACATTTAAATGTTGGGGAAATTAAATTTGAGATAACTTGAAAATCCATGGAAATYGTTAGTTTAACGAGGAAGAAAACTAGAATACAATTTACACATTTAATTTGAAATGTCTGAGTTGTCAAAGAAAATTTCTAAAGTACAACAAAAATGGAGCCTCTTTTATTTTTGAGTTATRCTTCTTTTTGTCTGATTTTTGCAATTCACTTTGGATTTTTGGGTCTCAGTTTTGTATAAGGCCTATGTCAACATAGCTCTAAGTGTTGGATTGTATCCATGTCAAGAGAAAAACTGAATTATTTAATCAGATTACAGCTGCAGGATGATGATTTGGTTAAAACCAAGAATTCAGTTACTGAAAAAATAAATAAATAAAATGCTGAATCTTTAACAAGCGCAAAGACAGATCTGCAATTTAATGAAGTATGAAAGGCTTAGACTTCATCACCACAGACAACCATCTTAATCCTGTACGGGGTTGTTGTGTTTGCAAATACAGTGCTGTGCACAGTAGGTCCTAGTATTAATCATGTCAAATATGTCACTGGGGCTTATTGCTGTCTCAGGCTTAGTTTTCTATTAGGTGCCCCCCCCCCCCCGCCCCCACCCATGGAGCAGAAAACAACAGAACATCCTGATCGATGCGCTGCTTTCCTGCTTAACCAGAGTATCTGATTATTTGTTTCAGCATTAATACTTATCAAATAGAAACAAGCAAATAAGGATATTCTAAAAAGGTTGCTTTTAATCAAAGTTTAAATGAAATGTCTGCTTTATTTAAAATTTAAACAATTTAAACATTCACATTACTTTTATATTTCCAATTTGCAAATTTGTGTAAATTATTCATATTTTTGTAACTGGAAACAGTTTGCTTAATTTCACTATTTTATGTTATACTGTATATATTTTATAGAGTCACAAAATCAAAAACATTTGATTATTTTCATTTGCCATGACTTGTTTTGGTACAGATTCACCGCACTGAATTGGAAATGCAGTGCCCTTGCATTAAATGTTTGAGCATGTCAAGAGCAGACCTCTGACAGCTAATCACATACCCAGTTGAGACGGGCTTGTCAGTAAGCTAATGGAGTGTTCTAAGGTTAATTTACAGCCATATGAATCCCATCAATAAGCAATTAAGAGATGTAGAAACACACAGGCATCCAGGTCTCAGCAGCTAAAACCTTTTGCAAACCCCCACCTTCTTTTAATCAATTAATTGCTGTGGCGTGTCTTTTTAAAGGCATTTGATAGTTTTAGACATCAAACTGTTATATATTAAATAAAAATACAAATAAAAAAAGGTGTTCCCATTTTGGTGCAATATCTGCCTTAAACTGTAAAATTAGTTGTTTTTTTTTTTCACAAATTGTAACTCTTAATGAGATTCTTTTTTCACCTCATGGCTTCCATCATATAGTTGGTTACTATTGCTCATTATAACTAAAACTATGGTCTGATTTATTATACATGAAATCTCCGTGCCAAATCTCCAGGGAAATATTATGTCGAACGATTGTTAAATGCCTACAGGAAACGAGCCCCAGGAAGAAATGTCGACATTTGGAACAAAACTGCGTCTTCATCAAATCTTTTGAGTTGCGTCTTGAGGAAGTCTTCGTCAGATTTGTGCAGCTTGCTGTCCTCTGCTGCAGTGCTGTCATRTGGAAGTTGTGTTTAAAGCACCACACTACACACTCACACTAAAAGCTCCAGTGCAAGGACCAGAGCAAAGCACGCTTAACAGCATGAATGTAGGTTTTCATTCATACCCCTCCTTTCTCCATCTTCACTCTAATGCTGTGAAGTGCTGAACACATTTTTTTTTTTTCACCACCTATGTGACATAAAATCCCTGACATATAGAGCTGGTTTTAAGTTACATGTGTGCACTTTCACACCGTATATCCTACATATTGTCCAAATCATTTCAGTTTTCATGCTTAATGGAGTCTCTCAGCGGGCTGTTGGTTTCTTTTGAAAACAAGCACAAAAGAAAGATGAAGCAAGTTTGTGTATTTGTTTTAGTTATTTTCAAGTTTTTTTTTTCTTTTCTCCCTTTCTGGAACTCACTCTGCTGTCAGTATTTGCACCACAGTTTCCACCTACGTGCATAACCCTAAGATGACATTTCATTACAAAATAACTGTTGAGATATTTTTAAGAGAAAGAGGACTAATGTTTTCTGAGTTCAGGGATGTATGAGGTTGAGTATTGTATTTTTTTTCCGGTACATAAGAATATTGTTTCACAAAGCTTCCCTCCTGTCTTCCACAGCACCACCAAATAATATATCAGTGGTGGCAGAGAACACTCCAGCCCCCTTCAGTCGATACCAAGCCCAGAATTTCACTCTTGTGTGCACTGCGAAAGGCGGGAAACCTGCCCCATCGGTAAGTTCAGCACCAGTAAAACATTTTGTTTATAAATTTCATTTGGTTTTAAGCATTAATTTCAAAAGCATCAAATGTATACACATATACACACAGTATATATATATATATATATATATTTGCTAAAGAGAGTATGTTATCACTAAGCTGAGAACATTATATTTGTAAAACTATACACAAGATGAGCACTGTTGTTTTGTGAAATACAATATGTTTAAATTACAAATGACTTAATTTGCTGTGTGTGGGTGTATTTGTTTTATCACACCCAGTGCATCTTTTAAACTTGCACATTTCAGCAAAAGGTGTAAGTTCCTTTTACACCTACACATTTTTTTTCTTTTCTTCCATACGGGACTTGTATTGTCAATTTTATAATTAAGAAAAAAGAGAGATTGAAAATATGTACATTTTCAAAAATTACGATTAAAGCAAGTAATTAGGTTCCCTGGCCCTAATCACCAATTTATGTGCTGAATGTAACTAGATGCATAGGCAAAACAAATTCTCAAATCAAAACAAAGCAAAGAAATTATTATT